TCTTGAGGCTTATGAAGAGAGCTTGATAAATTTAGGTCAAATATGTTGTTCTCGTTGTGTGTTGATCACGTTCCTTCTTAAAGGTTTACGGTGACGGAGGCTGATGGATTTTAAGTATGAGGAGAGATAGAGAGAAAGAGGGAAGAAGAGACAGTTGTAAGTAGAGAATGTTGGTTTCTAAGGTATGTTAGGCAGGAGATAAACAGAGGAGAGATAGAGAGAAAGTGGGGGAGAGAGAGGAGTTGAGAGGTAAAGAGACAAAAGAATTTAAGATAAGATGAACTAGAGATGAAAAGATGAGATACAGAGAGAAATGAAGAAAACGAGAGGCAGGGAGGTGGGAGGAGAGGGAAAATGTAATATACTGTTACCTGTAATTAAATCACACCTTTAATACAACCTGGACAAGTGTATTGGAAAAGGTTTTGATTTTTTTTTTTCAGAATTTCGAGGCTATTTTTTTCCGCCACGCACAAATATTTTAGTTAAATTGTATGATTGTTCAGTGATTTAAACAATGATTTGTTTGCAATTCTTACGACTAGATAAATATGAAGAAAAAAATAACAATTCATTCCAATTAATTTACATGAAACATATATAAAAAATTATTCTATCGCTTGAACGTGAGAGTAAAACATTTGTGAATAAACTCAGATCACGGATGATGGCGAATATTCTCAGGAATTAAGGGAAGGGTATTTATGAACAGTAAATAGAATGTGTACAGGGTTGAACTGACAGAGGGAAGAGTGTTTCATGCACAATAGTTTACGCTGAACACAAGTTATAGAGCAGAGCGCGGGCCCGACCACCTGGAAGTGACCTATTTTTCCAGGTTCCTCTCCCCCGTGTTGGTACTAGAGGCGGGAGGACTGCCAGCTAACGTTCGTGTACCTCGCTCGTGAGGGAATACACCAGGCGTGTTGCCTTTGAGGTTTTAATGGTTCAAAAGTATTTTATAAGCATTCATTTTAACTCATGTATATATAAATGCCTTCAAATTATCTGATCGCCATGAACTGTAGTTGGGTGAATGGAAGGGAAGTTAGGAGAAGCTTAAGCGTGACTACGGTCGACTATCATGTGCATGACGGCTTATATCAGCACCCAACCTGTTATCTTATATTCATAAATATATATATATATATATATATATATATATATATATATATATATATATATATATATATATATATATATATATATATATATATATATATATATATATATATATATATATATATCAATTTGACCTATAACAAAGAATCAGGATTACACTGAAAAATTATAACATTTAATAACTCAACCTAATTGTTTATAAAGTTTGCTGCATTAACACAACTCAAATATCATAAAATAGCAAAACTTCACACACACACACACACACACACACACACACACACACACACACACAGTAAACAATGGTAAGGATTGTTACAAATTTGAGGGCAAATTCTTGATATGATAACATGAGTACTGGTTCCTTGTGGCTGGTGGTGAAGGTAGTGACAAGAGTAGGGCCACGCGATGCTTCTAACATGACTCACGTTCACCACACAGCGCATCTCATTTTCCCACCAGCTCAGTAAAGATGACTAGAGAGGCCCTCACCTCCTGCTTCCGTAGTGAGATGAGTGATGTCAATCAGGTCTCACCCCCACAGCGAGATGAATACGACTCCTCACCTCTGGCTCTCGGTCGTGCTCTGGGTGTTGCTCCTTGTGGTCCCACGGAGAGACAGATGATCGCCAACATCTCTTCTCCAGCTGGGAAAGGAGTGTCGATGAAGATGCTGGAGAGATGAGGGGGGGAGATAAGCACCTCTCGTCTGGTACTTTCAGAAGCATAAATCAAAAATATAGTGCGTGGGAATTCGCTTTCGTAACACTTCTTTCGTTTCTCTGCTCGTGTGTGTGTGTGTGTGTGTGTGTGTGTGTGTGTGTGCTCTTGCTTTGATGTATATGTAAGTGAGGTTATGTTATTATCAATATTAAAAGTACACCTCAATATAATTCCGTAGCAAAATGCGCCTGAGTCACCTTATCATACTAAGGACCGAATACTATGTTGCCTCATACATTTGTTATCCAGTGATTAACAATAGTGTACCTTGATCTGTTCCCGCAATAGGAAGATTAAGAAGCCGTGGTATTTAATCTGGCTGTTCTCTTGATGTGACTAAAATAGGAGAGGCTCGACGTACTGAAATAAGAGACAGCGATGGAACTCAAATATACATAAAAAAAAAGTACTAAAATAGGATAAGATATATTCCAAAGAAAAATTTTCTAAGCAACAATTGAAACTAACTCACCTGCAACGCTTAAATTAGGAGAAATTCGTGTTTCCTTATACACACAAACTGCCCAAGATAGGAGGAGGCTTTAAGTACTCCACGCATGACCATGTGACATGCGTGTGTCATTCATCACACAGCCAGTGACAGCTCAAGACACCCCCAGCGTCTACATGACTCGCTCTGTATTCGCATCTGAGTCAACAAACCCGTCCTCATGATCACCTAAAGAGTAGACACCCCAGTTTACTTCACCTGATTATTAAACACTGTAACACTGTCTAGAGAGGCTAGGTTAGGTTACGTTACGTTAGTGTTAAATAATCAGGTGAAATAAACTCTTTAGGTGATCATGAGGACGGGTTTGTTGACTCAGATGCGAATACAGAGCGAGTCATGTAGACGCTGGGGGTGTCTTGAGCCGTCACTGGCAGGTTAATGAATAACACACGCGTGCTGGGGAAAACTGCGCAGGGAATACAGAAGACTCGCCTCAGGCCAGATTGTAGGTGTGTGTTCACCAATGATTACAGTCTTCGTCGAATATTTTGTTCATAACTGCCTTCCACCTGCATCAGAATAACTAACAAGCTTTCTTTAAGTCGTATTTTAAGACCATTTATAATCCCTAATGACCTGTTTGGACTAAATATTTCCTGTCTAGTTTAAAATAAGACAGGAAGCTAGTCATCATTCCATACTTTGTAAACTAATGCCACCATGAAATTAGATGACATTCATTTGGCAGAAGCGGTGATCATTGGTTATTTACATCCCATAAGTGTTGATTGTAAGAAAATAAATAATTATAGGGTTTTAATCAAGATAACTGGCCGATTCTGACGCCGAGGTGACGATGTGTGGGTGCTGGGAGAGACGAGAGAAGGGGTGGAGGTACAGGAAGATGGGAAGAAGGATGGAGGAAGAGGAAGTTGGGAGGAAGGATGCAAGAAGTGGATGATGGGAGGAAGGATGGAGGAAGAGGAAGATGGGAGGAAGGATGGAGGAAGAGGAAGATGGGAGGAAGGATGGAGGAAGAGGAATCTGGGAGGAAGGATGCAAAAAGTGGATGATGGAAGGAAGGGTGGAGGAAGAGGATGATGGGAGGAAGGGTGGAGGAAGAGGAATCTGGGAGGAAGGATGCAAAAAGTGGATGATGGAAGGAAGGGTGGAGGAACAGGATGATGGGAGGAAGGGTGGAGGAAGAGGAATCTGGGAGGAAGGATGCAAAAAGTGGATGATGGAAGAAAGGGTGGAGGAACAGGATGATGGGAGGAAGGGTGGAGGAAGAGGAATCTGGGAGGAAGGGTGGAGGAAGAGGGTCTATCTGCCTTTCAGTCAAATTATATGGGAGATCTTTTCCCTTTTCTTTCCTCTTTACTCATTTCTACTTCACACTCCATAACAGTTCAATAAACATTAACAACAGCGGTCAAAATACATACTTTCCTCAACCTTTCCATCTACTGTCGCTGGAGTATCTCTCATCTACGTCATTAGTGCACGAGTAAATATCTTTATATTGTTAAAATATTTCGAGCTCTTACAAAAAAAAAAAATGGACCCGATTGGATATTTCACTTTTCCAGCTCGCGTACTTAACCTTCCCGGCATTATTGTTTTGTTTTATTTTACAATGTACACAAGTTGCTGGTATTTATCTTGTAATTCTGTATATTTTTTAAGACGAATGAAACATACTACAAAATATGAAACATTACTACTGTATCTTGAAGGCAATGCACATTGTCTTTAGTATATGTAACTAATTCATTGTTATTTTGTTATCTTCAAGTGTTTTCCTTTTGATTGAGAAAATATTATTAACTTGCTGACGATAGTTAAGAATTTAATGCATTTCAGCAAACTGGTATGCAAATTCGAGTGACATCATATTATTATTAGCGCATATTTATAATGATCTTTTCAAGTGTTTGTATTTTGAATATTAATTAAAACATGAAACTTGACAACACGGACTAGATTGTTTTATTAAATGTCCGTGACTAAATGTAATTATTTTGATGTTTCATAAGAATACTACTGCAGAGTCTTAACAACTGTTTATTTCGGTCATTACTGCGGCTTATTGGAGTAATTAAAAGTCGTGTTGAAAATCGAGCAACTTTTCTTCCGTTTCATGGCCACAAATTGATCATATCTGAAATACCACAGTAACTTGTGATGACCGACTATGTAAGTATCTACCAGAAAATATGTGAGTGTGTGTGTGTGTGTGTGTGTGTGTGTGTGTGTGTGTGCGCGCGCGCGCGCGCGCGCGGGATTTCCCAACATGTGATCGCCACATGATGTATAGGTGGGACAACCCTCTGAGTCACTGTACGTTAATTTAAGCAAATTAATCTAATTGAGTTTAATTGGAGAATATTAACTGTTGTCGCTCAGTAGTGTAATAAATGCTTCACTGAGGTTCGTAAACATCCATATTAATTTGCCTCGTATTGGCTATACTTACGTATGCCGAGAACACAAATCCAGACAACATCTCTTTAAATGATCCTCATAAAACTTAAAAATATTTTTCCTCTAAGCATAAAAGTTGATAAAAGCGTGTGAATTCATTTTTCATTCCAGTGTTACTCCGTGTCTGATCTACTGTATATGTCCAGTTGATCATGGCAACATATATTATCTTGGGGTAGTGTTGCAGCGTCTTTAAATGCTCAGCCTTACTTGACTCGCTTCCACCATATCACGTAGCCGCCGCCTCTGCTCTCTCCTGCAGGCGAGTGCATCCGGTCAAACACTAAAACAACCCTGCAGAAGGACAAGTCACTATGGTTCACGGACTCCTAATTGCTCTCCTTCTCTCGTGCCTGACGGTGTCGACTGTGGTGACGGAGGACAATGACGTTATTCATGAAATGCGCTCCACAATGGTGGTGTCACAGCTGATGTTGGCCGAGCAGACGGCAGTGTTGCAGGAACTCCTCAACGCTTCACGCTCAACGCTTCGTTTCTTCGCTGAAGGTAATGTTCCTGTTTCGGTTTGCTCAATGACATAAAATGAATATTTAACCGTTTAAAGAGCAGTGTCGGACTTAGGTATTTAATTCTGGTTAACGCCAGACGATTTTATTCATCTGAGAGAAAACCCTGCTCCTCAAAGTGATAAGAATGTCTTGTGAACAGGAGAATCCGGCCTTAGGTGTAGTTACAGCTTATGAAAATTAGGGCCACTTACACCTTCCTTTGTTTTTCACTTGCATTTTATTTCACATACACACAAACACCACACGAGAACATTTCTAAAAGTTTTTTCATTTCAGTATTTATGTCAGCACAGAAGCTATCCTTTGAAAGTTATTACGTACAAATACATGTGTATAATCATATAAATATATAGTGACTGGAGTGTGGCCGCCTCCTAGTGGTGCTGATTATTCCATTGACATCCGCAGACAACAAATTCAAGTGAGGGTTAATAGGAATAACAATTTAATAATAGTTCAAAGCCCATTTACGAATGTGAAGTATAAATGAACAAAGCAAATGGTACAACATTGGCAAGAGAACAACCCGTGGAACACAACGATCAGGTTAACTGTACATAATCACGATGGTCAATAAACACCTGCAGTTTAAGTTGGTGCGTTGACAGAGACGCCGCTGCTTCACTACTACAGGTTTAGTTGTCCTAAAGCGTGAGGCTCTATCTGCAAATTTTTGTCTGAAGAAAATAGTACATTTCCAAATATTTTGCCCTTTTATTCACTAAGAGGGAACCTTCCATTAGATAATGCAACTCGCCACCTGGTCTTACAATTCACATAAACTGCAAAGTCCATTACAATGTTAAACGGTAAATAACAGATTCAACACATAAATTTGACAAGCAACATTTACACCAGATCATTAAGATATTCCTTAAAACAGATCCGGTGGGTTTACAGAGTCTTCCTGCCCGTACCCCTACAAGAAGGTGCTGGACGAGTGTTTCTACGTCTGTGGAAAGAAGGTTACGTTTGACCAGGCCCGCCAACACTGTCAGGGGATGGCAGGTGACCTGGCCCACCCCAAACACCTCCACGCCCTCTTATCGCTCCTCTTCGAATATGAACAGATAATAGGTATGTTTATCGAGGCGAAAAAAAGCCAAATTATATCCAATATTTTCCTTAATATCTTTTTTTTAAGGATTTATAAAGATAATCATTTACGGAAACAGGAAATCGAAATGAATGTTTGTGTTGCTGATTTATATACTGAAGGAGCACTTGATTATTGTTAGTAAAAGGTAAAAAGTTTTGGAAAGTGGCGGTGGGTGCAACACAGGGGGTATACTGTAATAGGGTATTCCTGTACCATCAGGTGGCAACGTGTGGATGGGAGCAACTGACTCACACCAAGAAAACACCTGGTTGTGGCCTGATGGAAGTCCAGTCTTGAAATGGGGTCGTGGAGAACCAAGCCGATTAAACAGTGCCTCTGTAAAGGAAGACTGCTTAGAACTACGCTTGGAAACTAACATGCTGCTGAACGATGTCATCTGCACCAAGAAAATGCCCTTTGTCTGTCAACACCCATAAAGATAATCAAGAATCATCCACTTATGTCTTCACAAGGAACGTATTATTCTTAGACTCTTATTTCATGCTTCTTTATGCCTTTATAATTCCTTAATGTTTTGTGATTCTCATTTTTCATATGTGCTGGTAGTATATTTAGGTTAGATTAGGTTAGGTTAGGTTAGGTTAGGTTAGGTTAGGTTAGGTTAGGTTAGGTGAGACATGCCAGGGAAGAGCTCACGTCATTGGTGGGTAAAGGACCAATCATCGTACGTCGTTCCCACACACACACACACACACTCGTATATTCCGTCACATTGTGTCAGGATTACTGTGGCGAAGACGAGTTCACATCTCAGCTGACCCATTACCATCTAGGCTGACTATACTTGTTACTAAAACACTACTCTTAAAGGGGACACATCTGTACCGGCGACCAGTTTTATTCACTCAAACACTAATGGGTTGTAAGAGCGTAACGTTTAAACTCACCAAGTTAATGAAGTTAAATCTGAAGAACACCACAATAGGCTGTCGTAATGAAGATGATGATGATGATGATGATGATGATGATGATAATAATAATAATTATCATTAGAACTACTACGATGTATGGTATACAACTATACATATACAAAAGAAACATCAAGAATGGTGCAGCTTCAAGTGAGCATTACCCAGACACACAGTAAAATCATTTATTTCTCCTACGTTAGACGCAGCTGGTTCCCGAAGCCCCCTTGCACCTTCTCCACTTGTAAACTATCATTAAACAATCCAATGGTCGACTGTATTGAGTATGGGTCAACACAAGAGAACATCGACTTATAGTGTGTTTTCGAGATTGTTTGTTTGTTTTGTTTTGTTTATCCTCCGGGTACAAAGAGTACACTGCAGGCTGGCACTAGCATCTCGCATTATCATCACTGCCCGGTCCTACCCTCCCCCTGCCCCGCTTATGAGAGACGGTCGCCAGATTTATAGATCATCATTATTGTCACTCATGCGTCAGGTGAATAAACTTTTTACTCATCAGCAGCTTCTACACTGAATCTATCAGTGGCCTTAAACACACACACACACACACACACACCACCGAAGGGTCAAGAGGTACCTAGCGCTCCTCTGGCAAGAGCCAAGTCAACTGTTATGTTGGCCCATACCAACTCCCTCCCTTGAACCCTCCTCCCCACCGGAATATCAACAAGTTCTCGTCAGAAGTTACTATTTCATTTAGGAAAAGAATGGAGCCAGTGTTGAATAGTGGTGAACAGTGCTTAAGTCAGTGAAAAACAACTCAACAGTAACAGCTAAGTCATAACCAAGCTAACCTTCACACAGTGAGGTCCCAGGTACCCAGTGATAACTGCCCCTGAGACTCAACAACACCAGCTATGTGTTAATCCGTCCACGATAGGGAGGCCTGGGAGCACACCTCACTCACTTGAGTGAGTGAGGTCCTGTGACACCAGACCACGTGGTGTCCCCATGATGCTACGACACCACGTAGTGAATGAGTTGGCACAGCATCATGTGAGGTGCCTCATAACATCATCTGTGAGGGAACTACTACACCACGTGATGCCCCTCATAACACCATCTGTGAGGGAGTTACTACACTACGTGTCTGCTGTTCAACACCTCAGCGTACATGATCTACGTGACCTCCACTGTAAACATTAATCTGTATGTTCACTGTATGTTCCTTTACCTTTCTCTAATGAAGGCTTTTGTTAAACCACCAATGTCAATGTATATAATAAATAATTTATGTCCAATGTATATTTTTAGCCCTCGGGCTGCAGAACTTTTTCAATAAACCGTTAATTATTATTATTATTACACACACACACACACACACACACACACGTGCGCGCGCGCGCGCGCGGAAATACATGTTATATATACTTTTGTTAGAGTAAGAGAAAGGGAAGAATTACAGAAATACAGGTTGTACGTTTGTCAGAGAGGGTAAGAGAAAGAGAGAAAATGAGAGAGATATGTTGTACTACTTATACAGATAAAGTAAGTGAAGGATATATTATATATATATATTTTTTAAGTTTCCTTCGCTAACCAGGTGATCATTTTTGCCTTAATCCTGACAACAATTACCATATATGTTAATGATCTACAGAGTTATAATTTGTGAAGAGATTAAATTCTTCCTTAATGAACAGAACAGAGACGAGAGCTTTTATATAAATCGGCATTTTTTTATTATTTTGAAAGTTTGCTAATAATTATGTCTTAAAATCTTATAAAGGTCTGCTACCATATCCCTTTGAACTTTGCTTGTTACTGGGATAATACTCCAAACTTCCCTCAGAGCTATGTTCTAATCATTGGAAAAATAATTGGGAATAACCATGTCTAATTCCTGGAAGATTACTAATTACTATATTATTCTTGAAAAGTTGACTAATAGTTCTGTCTAAATCCTACAAAAAATTACCAGAATTCGTGCGTTAACCCTTAAAAATATACTCAAACAGGAAGTCTTAACCCTAAAAGTATAGTACTACCTCATGTCTTCATCCTCGCCCAGGTGTGGTCGAGCCCGAGGCACTAACAGCACCACGAAACACTACTCTTATCATCACCATCATACATATCGCCAACGTCATGCCTCTCCGCCTCATCTGTGTTCTGCATGACAACGCCGCCTTGTACAGACGTCAGCAAGGAGGATAATTAAGCCGTTTGGTGGTAGACTTGTGCACGTGTTGGTGTACGTGTTTGACTTGGTAGAGAGGTAGTGTGTGTAGACGTGTGTGGGTTGTGGCAGAGATATAATGGGTGTTGAAATGTGTATAAGTTAATTTCACTCTGGTTAAGGGTATGCTGTGGTGTTGTCAGGAGTCTTATATAGCTGGAGATTACTATGTGGGATCTCATAAAGGATTTAATTTGATCATCAGAGAGAACAAAAATAATAATAAAGTGATTTATTGTACAATTACCCTTGTATTTAGTGTGTGTGTGTGTGTGTGTGTGTATGTGTGTGTGTGTGTGTGTGTGTATGTGTGTGTGTGTGTGTGTGTGTGTGTGTGTGTGTACTTAATATGACTTTGGATATAGTTTATAAGAGGTAAAAATATATTTGTTTTATTCTCCTTATTTATAGCGTTACTTCACGACAGATATCCATTGTAACTAATTATAAATGATGCACAAAACGCAATTAATTAGGTCGAGTTAATTTTCTAGTTGTTAAAACGTTTACGTCAGTGTCACTTCTCACCCTCTGGCTCAGTGCCACATTGGTATTCTCACTAACTCTCGTGTATTTGCTTTAGTCTTCTTCCTTGCTTTTTATTAGTCATTCTCCTCAGTCTCCTTCATTACTTCTTAACTTCATTTTTCTTTGGTCACTTGCTTGTTCTTGATTGGACTGTTATTTATAAACGATGATACTATTTTTGTGTGAACTGTGTCTAAAGGCTTCTGGCCCATTCACCAACAGCTGTTATTTGCTTATTATATAAAATATATTCCATACAGCCATCGTGCAGATCAATGGTGTCAAAATTCAATGTAGTTCCCCGATTGCACATTCTCTTGCGGTACATCTGATGCATCTTGCTTTTAAAAGGTCATCACCAGACTCATCAACACCTCCAAAAGTGGCTGAATACATTACAGGAACACTTGAGTTCGTCCTTCACTGAGTGTGACCCTCATGTGCGCTATGTTCACTTCTCGGGGGTAGAGCCTCAGAGGACTGCATCCAATCAAGGCTCAGTAACATCACTTACAGTACAGCGGGTCAGACCAGGCCAGTCACAGCAGCAGGTACAGCAGAGTCGAGCTAAATCTACTGAGGAACTGAACAAGGTACAAACTATTAGACAGACAAGGTAGAACAAAACCTAAACAGAGAACATGATAACGCTGTCGGGAGGATACATGAGTGAGATGTATACCAGGATACATAAGTGGAGTGGACCAGAACCAGGATACATAAGTGGAGTGGACCAGAACCAGGATACATAAATGGAGTGAACCAGAACCAAGATACATAAGTGGAGTGAACCAGAACCAGGATACATAAGTGGAGCGAACCAGAACCAGGATACATAAGTGGAGCGAACCAGAACCAGGATACATAAGTGGAGTGAACCAGAACCAGGATACATGGATGATGGGCGTTGTGGCAGACCTGAGCGATAAGGTAAAGAAGAGCCGCTGGATCCCATCTCATCTGACGAAAATAGAATGATGATAAATTTGAAACTATCACTCATTTTTTTTTCACTAGAAGATAACATAGAGGTTCCTTCTGCTGATGACGGGGTTGAGAGATCAGATAACTAAAACTGGAAGAGAGTTTAATGCCTATTACAGTGATATTAATGGAATTCGGTATTGTCGCGTCATGAGGAAAAACTTTTCATACACCAGATTGCATTCTGCGCTCTGACTTACACAATGCAAAATATATTGTAAGATTTGTATTTTACGTCGTAGGAAATACATTAGAACAGAAGCCTCCCTCCCTTCAAGGCTGGTCCCGTCAACACGAGCTCTCAAGATAAACACTCCAACTTATTCAGATGAATTCGCTCTCAATGTTTCACACGAGATCAAACGATATTTAGCTTCTTTTTTTTCTCGGAACAGATAACAGTGACAGAGATATCAGGTGTGTTGAAGGGCTGCACAAAGCAAAACTGATGGCAGAGGCGGCGACGCTGGATGCAGACGTTACTTTACACGGGCAGTGATCTGGTGCACTTCTATAATTCGAGGATGTGGGAGGAGTGTGGGGAGATGGTATCGTGTCGCGACTTACTGGCTGGGAATACTTTCTGACCAGCAGCTCTGTATTGACTTTTATCTTTGTTGTTGTTGTTCTGGACGTGACTACGTACTAACTCACTCATCAACACGTTAATATTGACTAAATCCAGAGAGAGAAAGAGAGAGAGAAAGAGAGAGAGAGAGAGAGAGAGAGAGAGAGAGAGAGAGAGAGAGAGAGAGAGAGAGAGAGAGAGAGTCTATACTCCAATTATAAAACAATGAAAGTAAACCACCGTCCCTTCTGCCACTCTACCACCATCACCACTCGTTCTACCGCACCACCATAATCAGCACTACCACACTACTATTATTCATTCTACCACACCACCACCACCACCAGTCGTTCTACCACACCACCATTAACAGCACTACCACACTACAACCATCCCTTCTACCACACCACCACCACTCGTTCTACCACAGCACCATGATCAGCACTACTACACCACACCACCACTACATCTACCGCACCACCACCTCACCTACCACACCACCACCACAACATCTACACCACACCACCACTACATCTACCGCACCACCACCTCACCTACCACACCACCACCACAACATCTACCACACCACCACCTCACCTACCACACCATCACCACAACATCTACCACACCACCACCACTACCAGTAGACCAGATACTTAGTGATGAGGAAGAGTGATGCCCTTCCACCGCCATGTAACGCAAACTACCGCCAATGCTCCGTCAGCGGGAGACCATATTCCTTCCCCATCCTGAACCTGAAGAATATAACGAATTTCTAAGATATTCCGCCTTAAACCTATCCTAACCTAACTTAAATCTAACCTAACCTAACCTATCCTAACCTAACCTAAATCTAACCTAACCTAACCTTATCAAATCCTTTCCTAAAGCAAAATAAAAAAAATGATTGATGATTCCACTCGGATGACGAAATCCTTGTTTACACTGGGAAGAAAATCCACACTGTTGTCTACCTCCCGGACAGAAGGGTGGAAGTAATTACTCAAGGTGAACAAAGCTTAACATGACCTAGTGGTAGAGGAAGACCCATTCATAGGAGGTACTCGACACATGGGGTTTAGTCAGCCTCGATATCCCATACTCGATCAAATGTGGTCATAGTTAAGTCATACGTACATGACCCTTTAGAAATACGAACAAGGTGATTCCATGCATAATGCAATACGTATAGAAACTTGGTAAATATTATAGGGAAATTTTCGACAGTGGTGATGGTGGTTTTTATTGTGATGGTGGTGATGGTTATGGTGGTGGTATGACAATGGTAGTCTTAGAATATTATAAACTTTAACAAAACAGATTAGACAACTAAACAAAACATATGACAAAATTCAGTTAAAAACGTATGGAAAAAGACATCACTTTACTGTACGGCATATGGAGTCATGAGTTAGACAAACACTATAATAAAATACAATGAA